AAAAAAAAAAAAAAAAAAACTGGGTCAACAAAAAAAAATATATGTCGTTCTGAAGGGACGCTGTATACAGAGAACGACGACTATTCTGGAATTTGTAAATGATCCTTTCACGAGACCAAAATCCCCACGCTTGTGGCGAAAATACGATTGTCAAGCGAGAAAACGCTCAAAACACAATGTGGGTGGTGACGTCACCTTGAAATTCCCGCGACAATCGCTGCGACATTGCAGAATTCGAAGACGTCTACGCAGTTCCTAATTGGTAAAAATCACATGATCCCTTGAAGGGGGGGGGGGGGCTATACCTTAAAGTATAAGCGTTTTTTTTATCCTTTTTTCCCAGCTAGGCCTTCTCCCATAGCAGGAGTGCAAGTTTAATCATCGCGTATGTCGTCATCAATACGTGAGCTTTACAACACGTAAGTATCCACCTACCCAGCCCATTGGATCACCTGGAAGTATGTTTGAGCGAGTTATCACGATAGATAGAGCGCCAGCTATTATTCCCACCTCGAGTGAAACAACGAAATAATAAAATAAGGAGGGTCGAGTAGCGAAATGAGCGCCAACCTTCGACTGTTTTACTACAAGGTTCCAAGGCTACATAACAACATCGTGCTTATGGCACTATCGGAAGATATAGCACTCACCTTGACCCACCCCCTTTCTTGTTTTTTTCGCCGTTTCGCGATAAGTAACCATAGTTTTATGGTTAGTACCAACCATATATGGTTTCCTAACGATATACTACATCCTCATAATTTTCCGGACTAACTGCGCAGTTACTCCAAAAGAAGAAATCAGTGCAGAAGCCTGCTCACATTACGGCAAAGACGGGCGCTTCGCTCCTTGTGCCCCGTTTTTGGAGTAACTGCAGAACTGTTCGCGCAGTGTGCAAATGGCCCGTCGGTGTAAACATAAACATGTTTCTTTCCATACGGTGCCATAGCGTGGCGTGGTGTAGTGGTTAGTGCACACGTATGCTGACTGAGTCGTCGTGAGTTCGAATAACGCGTATTCGCTGTAAATTTAAGGTGTGGCAGGCCAGTCACCCCAATAAAGGAGCAGCCTCGATGCCCCTCTTCCTCCTTTACTTCTTAGGGCACTAATGTCTATTGGAGCTTCAACGCACGGCGCTTTATGGCAATGAGTACTTGTTTTAACTTCACCCTTCCGGCTCCTTGTTGCCTGTAACCGCTTTGTCGCAAGACGAAGCTCAGAAAGCGATCGCCAGTTGACCCACTTTGAGCTCTTCGGGCTCAACGATTCAAATCGGCTCACGAAATTCACAACGATCCATTCTTTTACCCGCAACAAACACCGAAACACAACAATATACAAAGCAACAGGTACAATCGAAATCGCAAGAGCACCATCATTCTCACGGATGGCGTCCGAGCGATTGCGGCACCATAGTCTCCTCTATAGTCAGTATTGTAGATGAACAGAGGTATTCAATCATCCCAGTTTCGAAACGGCGTTCCAGAACCCAGGATACGCAACTGGCCAATCGTGGGGCAATCAACAAACTGTCGCGCCATCTGGGAGCGGCAACGCAAAACACAAAATAATGCGTTCACTAGTTGGTTTGCTGATGAACAGGTGAAGTGACGATCTGCACACTTCTACCATCTCGGCCAATCGTGTGTCCGGATTTTGACACATGGAGACTATGAAAAGATTCGAAGCTCGTAAGATTAAATAAATCTGCTGGTGATGACAGACGAGAGAGCACCCGCTCGCACAGACAAGGCCTTGTGGGAAAAGCCGTTTCTCCGCCGAATAATCATGTATTTATTTGAAGTTCTCTTTCGTTTCACGCGTGATCAGCAAAGCGGTACATCAGCGAACAACCAACCCACCCGAACGCCACCACCGGTGGTGGTTGGTTTAGAGTGAAACACAAAGAACAGCTCAGCCAGCGTCAGACAGTGAGTGTGTACTCCTCTACGGTAAAACAGCCAAATATACATGTCAGGTGCGACGTGCAGATGCTTGGGGAGGAGGAGGAGGAGGAGGGTAAAGGGAGAAGGCACAGACGCGTTGTAAGGTTGCGGGTGCGATACCCTTAGACTTCATTGGGCTTTATTGGTCATCTTCCACAGCACTTGAAAAAAAAAGTTAAAGAAATGGCAAAGTTTTCGTTGCTTGACTCCAGAAAATGATTAGCAACTAAGCTGCCTACATTATTCCAGTGTTCCCATTCCTGCTACCTAGAAACATATAAAAAAATTAGCTATCATTCGTAAGAAAGTAAGTAATACGTATCTTTATAGCAAGCTGTGATGTCGAACAGGTGCAAAGATTTGTACACACACTAACGTAGCTGATTTAGTTTATTTTAATCTACCTAATCACTAGGTCTTGCAAATATGTCATATTTGAGACGATGCCACATGGTGGCATTAGTGCGTATCATGCGCGTACCTATGCAAATTGCACAAAATGAAAAATTTCAGCGCGAATTGTTTCTGAGACCTTTTTAATTACCCGAAAAGTAACAAAGAAACTTGCAGGTAAGGCTGGCAGTGTTACGTATACTGACGCCGGAACACGAAACGTCCAACTTGGAACTTCGTTGCCGCGTTTATTCGACAGCTATTGGGTCACAGTGAGGTGACGTGGGCAGAGGGAGGGGATCGGAGGACGAGAGGTGATTGCGGTGAACAAATACGAAACAAACAAGAGTCAGTGACGAGTAAGAAGAAGCTACCATTCCCGCACTTCCGATGCACACACGCACACAGACCAACAGCGCACGCAGCATGCGTCCAAGCAGCCAACCAGAGGACTCTTCCACCTCGTGACGTCACCGAAGTGGGCGGTGACCGGTGCAGCAAGGCTCAAAGAACTCAGATCTAAGTCAGCGCGCACTAGGCCGGTAAAGGGGGTGGGGGTGGGGAGCAGATAAAATAAACACCATCCAGCGAGCTAAGAAGACGGGAAGTGCGTCACGAAACTGACGCCACGTCAAGTCGATGCGCACGTCCGCGATTAGCATACCGCGCAGTTCTAACAATGTTACCGGATGAGTGTGACACACGGCAAACTACGTCAGAGCCAGGCATGCAGACCACGCATGCTCAAGAGGACATGGTCGGAAAGACCCAATTGCATCGCCAATCACTAAGGGGTGAGCATGTGTGAAAAAAAAAAAAAAAACACAGTTCCTGGAAACCACGAAGATTGTTACGCTGAAAAGGACACCACAGTACATCAGGCAGTGCGGCCTTTTAAGACATATCGCGTTCGAATTTACGAGTATCACTCGTGCACACGAAATATGTACTAGGCCAACATTAACGAAAAGAACTTCGTACAAAGCTCAAGAAGTTTGATAAGATGTTCGAAATCTAACCATAAGTTACTGCTGGCACTGCTGCCAGAACAAGAGAAAAAAATTTAACGATACCTTAAATTCGAAAGCGAGTGTCTATCAATAATGATAAAAAAAAAACGGCCACACATGTTTTGAAAGAGACACGCACACGACGTGCCCAGGCCCCGAAATATCAGTCCGGAGATTTGCAACATGGAGCGAAAGTGAAGGCGCGCGACCACAACGCTGAGACAGATTGTAAGGCTGCCATATCATTAACTCGTCATTCCCTCATTTTCGTTACGTCCTGAACCGTTTTAGCCCGAACAAGTTTCTTGACCAGGTTAGCGGTGTCCGAGGATCACGTGACCTTTTCACCGGAACTGACGCAGAAACCACCCGCCGACGCGGCGTAGAAGAGCTTTCGTGTTCTCATCTCATGAGATTATACTTAAGCGTCTTCTGCAAGCTTTTGAACGAGGTTTCATTCATCTGGCGTGCCTTATCTGGCTTTGGTTCCGCAGGACTGATCGTCTTTTGTTCCACCTTCCGTCCCTCCCTTAAGTTATATGGCCCAATATTGAGTATTTTCTTATGCCCCCCCCCCCCACAGAAGAACGTTGCAATATATCGGTTTTTCCCGCGTTGTTGCCAGTGGAATCGTCAAACGACGTAAACCCGTATACACGATACGTTAAATTAGTTAAAAAAGTGCGATGCTATTACGACGTGTTTCTTTCGAGGCCTGAGCACTGTCGGCGACGAATGCACACACACACACACACACACGAAAAAGGGCGGCGACACCGCGAGCGGTGCGACGCACGTGCCGCTCTGTGTGTCTAGCCTTGCCCGGATCGCACTAAGGCCACACAAAAGAGACTCAAGAGGCATCGGTCTTAACAGAGTACGAAGCGAACAGGCGCACCAGTAGTGCGGGTTTCCCGGAACAGATGGCACGCGACGACCGTGCGATGACGTCCGCGCGGTACAGATGCGAGCGCGTGGAAAAAGGACCGGCCTTCATCTTGGGGCGTTTTTTTTTTAATTTTCATTTATAGCCTCGCGTCTGTATCTTGTAGAACCGCTCAGTGCGCTAAAGAAGCAGATGTAGAAATCTAACGAGAATGTTTGCGAGGAACGCTTACAGAACAGAAAAATGAAGACACATAAACGAAAAAAAAAAAAACTCAGATGTCGTCCTGGTCGTTTATGTAAAAGTCACTTCATCGCACCCTAGCTTAAAAAAAAAACAAACAAACAGGAAGCAATATACTTTTAGATTCGGCTCCCCACCAGATCCCATTTCTCACAATTCCCCAGTATTAAATTTAGATTAGAAAAAAAAAAAAACGCCCCGAGGCGGCATTTCTGTCATTTCTGCATGCTTACATAGAGAACACCGCAGAAAAAATTACAAAACACGAACGACCTCCAGCAGCTGTGAGCGGTAGTATAAACTGTCACATTAACAATTCCTCACCACCAAATATTTCGTACAAAATAATAAAGAAATAGCTTTTGTTCTTTCCTCTCGAGAAGTCCATTTTCTACGCCCATCAAATGACCGCTGTTCACTGGCCTTTCACGATCCGAGCAAGTTGAACACACATCGGCACGTCGGGGTGATTTTAAAAAAAAGGAGAGAGAAGAAGCAGGAAAATACTACGAAAAGGCTCACCGTCTGCTGCTCTACGCCGTTCGTGGTGACAATGGGCAGGGCGAAGGAGCCGTCCTTGCCGTCAGCCCGCTCGCCGCCATTTTGGGTCACGTACTGGGGGTAGGTGGACGCCATCTGGGTCTGCACCATGTGCTGCGCATTCGAAGGAGATAGGATAACGAGGCTCAGTCAGAATTCGCTCAGCTGTAACTGCAGTCTGTCAACTGCTACACATTGTCGAATATAATACGCAGGTATTTAGAAAATAGTCCTCGAACATTTTAAACGACGCTCTTTCCTGCACTCTCCCTTCTTTGTGTTGCACCTTTTGCACACTTCACTGTTTACAAGTTCAATCCTGTAACACCCAAACAGGGTTCGATGTTAATTGTACAAAAAAAAAGGGGGGGGGGGATACATCAACTTTTTTAGCTTCGACACTGTTCAGTGGGCGGTTTTTGTAACAACGCCTTGATCTGACCAGACGGTGTTCTGCCAAAAACTCGACAAAGTTCCAGATTATGAACAAATAAGTCATCTTATTCACATATTTTTTTTTTTGTGTGAGTGAAGGTATATTGATAAAAGAAGGAAATAGGAAAGGCTATTTTAAAGTTGCGATTTCAATAATATGAAAATGAGTCCTAGCAGCTCATACTAGAATGGTCTCCCCGATAAAGCCATCTCGACAACGGATCGTCAACATTAAAAAAAAAAAAAAAAACAGAACAATATGGTTTGTTTTGTTAGCTGCAACGAGAGTGCATTATTAGCACTACACCTTACAGGCCCGACGTCGACGGTTAGGCGTTTCTTTGAGTAACTTATTTATTTAGGAACCTCCCCCCCCCCCCCCTATTAAATACTACGTACTCTGAAAAACATGAAGTGCTTTAAAAGGAGTTCATTGCTGCCTCTCTTCCCGGACTCACACCTAAGTAGGTGTGAGTCCGGGAAGAGAGGCAGCAATGAACTCCACTCCCCCGAACGGTTAACCTGCACACGCTATATTTACAAATTTGAGTATGCATATACAGGAGAATACATACCAATGCACCGAACGTACGGGAACAATGCCTGAATCTCAGTCTACGTTCCCCTCGAATGAAAAGTTCTGGCTACTTCGCCGACCCAGGCGGTTAAAAGTGTAGGCGCCATTAGAAAAGAACACCGCAGCCATGCTATTCACGCGCTTATTTTCAAGGAAGTCAGGTGCCGTTTTAGTATTAACCGTTGACCTTCGCAGAGCTGCCTATAGATGGCGCGTACACACTGGTACGTCAACGCAAAAAAAAAAAAAAATATTGAATGCACAAGCAAAATCGGAACAAGTAAAAAAAAAAACAAAGGGGGGGAGGGAGGGAGCACGACGCCGAAAACTCAATTCGCGAGCATTCCGGGACTGCTCCTCCCATTTTCCTCCCGCCATAGCTTTGCCTCGGGCGCGAAGTAGCGAACAAAATTGCTGAATAAAACGATTAAGAACTAGAAATCCGCTAAGAAGGGAAGAAAATAATCTAAAGGAACGACGGAAAGAGGAAGAACGAGGCGAGAGAATGGCCACGAACGGAGGTAGACAAATATAAAGTAATACACGCAAACTGACAAGCGACAGGCCAAACGACATCAAACAAAGACTGTATAGACGGCGCGAAGTTTTTTGATATTTTTTTTTCCCCTTCGCGTCTTTACGCTGAAAAGGATGCGGGCTAAGATGAAACACCGCTGCCCCTCCGGCGAACACTGGTATTTGATTACGCACTCGCAGTGGATTGCCGGCAAGCAGGCTGGCTGTCCTCTCCCTTTTTTAGCCTCTCTATAATTCAACCGTGGCACCATCCTCACCTTTCGACACCTTTGATGGTGACCCATCCAGAAGTGAGAGCGCCGGATAAAAAAAAAAAACAGTAAAGAACCAGACGTGGCAGAAAAGTGAAGCCACTTTGACCACGCAACATCGATAGCACGCCTGTCCCTTCAATACAGTCTTTCCCTCTTCCGACTCTTCCTTTTTTTCTCTCCTCTCCTGTAAGGTTAGCGGGGAGCACCGAGAAGATTACTTCTCGGAAAGAGCACCAAAAAGGAGTGACGCCCCCCAATATTCTCCCAACCACGTTATCTTTCTCCTTCAATTGGCACATCGAACACCTCTCGCGGCCGTTTCACCGTTTTTTTTTCTTTCTTTCTTTCACTTTTCGCCCCCCCCCCCCCCCCCCCGAGGCTGAGCGTCTCCTTCTATATTGGCTTGTCTTCATTCTGCTGAGACTCTGCCGATAAAGCGCACCGTTCGTTCTCTAGACGTCGTAAAAGAAAGAGAGAGAGCGGGTTCCGACAATTCGAGCCTTCGAGACAGGAAACCCATTGTTATTCAACGTGACGGCCCGATTCCTTTGCAATAATGAGATAGAGGCGAGGTAAAACACCGTGATTTCGCGACAGAGAAGACCGCACTAGGGAGCCTTCATGTGCGCGCCGGCTAAGCGTAAATGGCGAATTTTAGCCCTTCCAGCCATTTCTAGTATAATTGGAGGAGGTGTTGGTGCTGTGGCTACCGTAAGGGCGTTCGCATACGAGCAAAACGCAGTCAGGTACACGAGGTAAGCAGTACTAAAGCTCTCTAATGGCGATCTAAGTTAGTGCCGGAGAGTCCACATCACTTGCTTGCACACGCTCTCGCGTTTCCTTGTTTTCGAAGCCACAACCCTGACGAATACAAAATAACGCAAGGACATACGTGCGGAAGCCGCTTGCGGTTATTGGCAATAAATCTCTCCAAACTTTTTAAAGACGATAATCTTTCCTTGGGGAACTTCGACGCAAAAATTTTGGTCTGTCTGTCTGTACATCTGTATTTTTGTCCGCCCTTAACGATACCATAAACGGCACCAAAGTGGCCAAACGATACTCCAAACGGCCGACCCCATCCGCAGCGCCCACCAATATTGCTCAAGCTTCAGCGTTTACACTTGTGCGATTGTCATTTAAATAAAAGCAATTATTGCGCATATCTGAGTTACCATAACAACACGTCAATATTATGTATGTGTGTCTTTTTACTAGAAAAGGCATACATAAGTAGCCGCGCCACGGTGGTCTAGTGGCTAAGGTACTCAGCTGCTGACCCGCAGGTCGCGGGTTCAAATCCCGGATGCGGCGGCTGCATTTCCGATGGAGGCGGAAATGTTGTAGGCCCGTGTGCTCAGATTCGGGTGCACGTTAAAGAAGCCCAGGTGGTCGAAATTTCCGGAGCCCTCCACTACGGCGTCTTTCATTAACATATGGTGGTTTTCGGCCGTTAAACCCCACATATAAATCAATCAATCAAGCACTGCAATCAATCAAGCACTGCAATTCTGAGGTCCGTAGCGTTTATCACGCTGCGCTGACCATGCAACGTTTGCACGAAAAGGCAAGTGTTTCCAGCGCTTTGTTAAGACGACATGGCGGTGGCACCTACCCATCGCCTTGCGTTCTGCACCTTATCAGCTCAAAGACGGGCGCGTACGCCACAGGCTTCGTTTTCCAGGATAACTGCCAGATAGCGCTGGTGTCTCACGTGTGACGTGACTTGATGCGCTCGTTCGCCTTAGCTACACGCTCGAGGCACTGTAACGCAGCGCCTTCAGAATACCATTCACCTGATTTTCTTGCGCAGAACATGAAATAAACGTTTTGTTCACTCTCTCCAGACAGCGAGACTATCGTCTTTCGACGACTATTTGCAGTGTAACATGCCGATACGGGGCCAATTTTCGTTAGAGCAACTTAGTGCCGGGGCCCCTGGGGGGCTTCCATAGACAAGCTCTCGCAATCCTTTTTACTCTTTATGGGTGTCACTGTAGCGAAAAAAAAACAAACAACAAAAAAGGAGGTGTACAACACAAGTTACGCAAGAACGCGCGGACTCAACGGCTACACAAACTAGGCACTAAAACTCTCTATTAGAAACTTTTAGCACTGGCGCTGTAAGCGACTCACGCACGCACGCTATTGCATCGCTTCGCATTCCCAGCCGCACCCATAAGGAAAAGAACGCTATGGTAGCGTACGCAAGCCACTCTGGCGCCGCGGCACAATATGTCTCGTTTATTTTGCCCATGCACGTTACAGTATGCGGAGACAGGTTAGAAAGCGGCAGGCACGTCAACTGTCGCATCAGGGAAGGTATTAAAAAGTTTATAGTGCACAACGAACGCACACGTCAAGACCGCTTTAATTAGTCTGGAGCACTGCGCCAGAAAAACTACCACAGTAAAGACGCGACTTCGTCATTTTGCGCTATTATTTCAGCTTACGTTTTCTCCCCATCTTGTTTTCCTCAACTTCAATTTTCTTCCGTACTGTTTAACAAAACAGAATGATTAGTCTTTCGCCACCGAGACTTTATTTTTTTCTTTTCCAGAACGTGGTGCAGTGCGTCGAGGACTCGCAAAGCAACGCTTCTGCAACAGGCATGCTGCATCCAGGGACACTTTTCAGGCGTGATGGCCAAAGCAGCGTGCTTCCGTTTCTATTTTTACAGCATGGACATTGAGATCCCCTTCTGGTGCAAACACGATACGCGCGTCCACTTCTGCTCCTTGTTACCACATGCAAGGAATCTGCAAATCCGCGTCGCCTACCAACGCAAATGTTGTTTCTATTTGATTTTCCTTCTTTTCTTAGTGAAGCGTTGACTGTAGAGCTCAGTGTCGACTCACTGTTCTTCCCTGTTAATACAAAAAATCGTCAAGCGACTGTACAGGAACACAAAAACGTAGGCAAGTATACTCGCAGGAGTGTTTTTTTTTCTTTGTCTTAAAAAAAAGAAAGGGGGGTAGAAGACGGGGTGTGGTAAAACCAAAGGCGAACGCGTTTCGCCAACACTCACTGGGTGTATTTTACGAAGTGCTCGCAGTACACGCTTTCTCAACTCCAGTGCAGGTAGCTAACAACACGCTCATTTCGGTAACAAGCACGCACGCACTCGACCCCCCCCCCCCCCCCGTCACACACACAGAGATAGACAGAGAAGAAGTATGGCTCAGTAACGTATGCTGTCGGGCTAGTTGGTGTGCAGCTGTGTAAAAAACATCGTTGGCCCAAACCTGAAAGAAGACGAATAAGAGAACAGTGTGCTTTTCTGTGTCTCTTCTTTCGTCTTCTTTCAAGTT